TTGAAATAAAATGTTGGTTTGACGTTTCTTGTTTCCATATAGATAGTAGGGAATTACAGGAATTAAAATTTTGGAATAAAATTAAACACAGGGTGTCCCTGCGGTATTCCAGAAAAACAATTTTTTTAAACAAAATTTCAAAAAATGCTAAATTTTTATGGAATGAATAAAAACTATAATGTAAAAACAGGTTATTTTTTATTATGTTATTAAATAGTACGGGCTTTTAGCTTTCAAAGGAAGAAATAAAAACCTGCTAATTTTTTACACTTTCTGAAGTAATGCGTTTTTCGCTAAGCAAAAAATTATTTTTTATTTTTTTTCAGTGCCTTGAGATCTGGGGCTGGATTCTGTAACTGTGAGAAAATGTAGTGTACACCGAGTGCAAAACTCACAACCGAAAACTCACCGACAAAAATTCAGTGAGTTTTTCGGAAGAGAAGTGTGCACAATTTTGACAGTTAAATCTCATTCTCACTTTTCCTGAATCGCAAAATGAAGAGTGCTCACAATTTTCAGTGTACACTTGAAAACTCACAGTTACAGAATAGAGCTCCTGCACGATTCGTTCCATTTTCAAAAATAAAGTGTCAGATTAAAAAGCTTGACCTGTGGACAATAGAAGGTTTATTTTTATTTTTTTAAAGAGTAGCCACCTGTTAAAAAATAAGATTGTTAAAAAATTAGATTCAAAGTTTTTACAAGTTAAATGAAATTATTTAGAGATGGGTATCAATCGAAATGTGTATTAACTACATGCAGCGAGTTGCCACCTGTTTAGAAAATCAATTTCCACTTGAATTAAAGGAATTAGGTAATTGAAATAGATAGGTAAGGTTTAAGAAGGTTTTTAGCTTAGGAGTGCCACCTGTTTGTAAAGTCGAATTTGGTTAAACTAAAATAATAATTATGTCAAACCATAGGATTACGCTATCGTATTTGTTATTTTATTACAAATACATTCATTGTCAATCAGTGATTTGTTCTGATTACATTCCTTTTAAATTACTGGACTCTTCTATTAACTCAGGAATGTTTTTACTCTGCACTTATTTCTTTCTAAATAAGTAAAATTTTTTCATTTTTCTGATACTCATATTGATATAGTTACATATTTCAGTTACCTTATTCCCTTAATTGTGGCAACCCTTCTACGTGCCGTTTAGAAGTAAAGTATTTTCAAAACTAGTTCAATTGATACCCATATTGTAATATCTAATTAATTTGATTTATTAAATAATTTTAATAAAATTTGTAACAGGTGGCAACCCTTTTCAAAAATAAAAAACTTTATTGCATATCTACAGGCCAAGCTCTGTCGTTTGACACCTTACTTTTGAAAATAGAACGAACTATATGTACATACCTATTCCCTATGGTCGGGAAGCACTGTGCGTCGGCGTCTTTTTATAATTTTTTGTCGGACTGGACAAGATCGGGCCACTACCACATATTCATTAGCTCCCATACAATTGATTGTTTCGAGATTGGATTTTACATTCAATCAGAGTAGATTAGATTTAAAAAAGGGAACAGTAGCCGGATTCCACCATTCGCTATCTTTAATTTTGATCACCAAAATCTCCAGAAGAACAGCAGGCGCGCCTAACAACATGCAACATCCAGATTGCTCCTCTCCTAGGTCTGGTCCTACTGAGGGTTTCACAGTGGCGTGCTCTGCTGATCGCTGTTCTTCGTGACTCAACCTACACTGATCTGATTTTACATTAAATATCCTCCTCTTTGGCAGCTAAGAAGATGAAATGTTCCACTTTGTACATTTATGAATATAAAGTTTATAGTAAAGTAAAACTTTATTGTCCCATGCAACTGATTATTCAGACATGAGGCTTTGCCTTAAAACTCTTTCATTTAGACAGCCAAACCGTGAGGTTCTCTGAGCTATTTACTTATCAATGACGCAAGGTCAACGCAGAAAATCAATTTCATATCTATTGTACCGCCCTCAAAGCCAGCGCCGTTAGCGCAGCGTCAGGGAACGAAGCAAGACTGGTTGCTTTAGCGGTGAGCGAAAACATGACGAAGTACCCCCTGGCAGCATAAAAGAGTCTGCATGTATTGGTTCATTGTTGGTAGTTAAACATACATATGTAGCTTTTAAGTAGTGAAGGATTTTACCTAGGATTTAACATAAACACCAGCAATAATCTCAGCCTTGAGATCAAGCGAAGAATAGCTCTTGCCAACAGATGCTACTTTGAACTGGGTAGGCAATTGAAAAGCAAATATTACGTTCTGAAATTCGGTCTCGTTCGTTTTTATGATGATGCTTCAGTGAAAATATCCTTTCACTCGTAACCCATGTGTGGAAAACGAACGGGCACGAACACAATAGAAGGACCAAGTGGAGAAGGGTATGTCTGAACTTGAGATGAACAAATTGCGAAATTTTTCAAAAGAAAGAGGTAACTGGCGAAGATTCTTGGCCTCTACTTCTACTTGCATTAATTTAGGATTGGGAATTCGAAAACACTTTGCTCCTGCCTCGTTAGTTATTCGCAACGAAAATGCTTATGATTGAAGTCTTAATCCACAGAAATCGGCATCAAATGCTATGATAATAGGTAACTTTATGAACTTGATTGCATTTTTAATCGATATGCGCCTACCCAGAGTTTAGGGACTGCTGCATAGACCTTAGCTAAGTGTTGCCAGTTTGCGGGATTTCGCCCTTTTTTTGGGATTTTATGACTAAAAAGGGCGAATGCGATTTTCTGTCGAAAAACGGGATTTTTTGCATACCATACCAAGCAATAAAATTTAGTATGTAATTGATAAATAAGAAACAGTTCATATTATTAATCCTATTAGCGGAATTTCATTCACTTGAAATTAATTTTATAGCAAATTTTTTAGTATTTTGAAAATTTTGGAAAAATTTCTAATCAATAACTCAATTCAAATGTCTTGAGTTTCTAGATTCTGAAGTTGTTTTAAAGTTATGTAAAATAATTAACACCAAGTCTTTAGAGAGCATAGCGGTATACAGATATGGACCAGTTTGATTTAAACAATGAATGGAAAAGTATTTTGAGTGTTTTTGTTATCAAAGAAAGTAAAATTAGCGATGTATAAACGTTTGGGAGGTAGTCGTTAACAAAAGGGCAGTGAAGATTTCCTGCATCTAAATTTTATGGAAGATATAGTTTTGTATTATCTTTCCATAATTTTAATGCTAACTGCCAACGATTTTTTTAAATTGCTTACTGACATCAAAATGAAAAAGATAATCAGAATAAGCGAAAAGGTATTAAATGCAATGTGTGTAGTAAAATCTACCTAATTTAATTAATAAACAATCATCGCATTTTCTGGGGGTTTTGAGGGACATATAAAATATAGTTACTATGAACAAATGGCTAAATAAACAATTGGGTGTTATTATTGGAAGTCTCCTGAAGAGCAAATATTGATTTTAAAGAATTCTATACTATTTCTACAAAGTGTTTTTTCCCCATATAAAATGTAGAGAAAACTTTGAGGGCTTTGAGCGGTACCACTAAATATTTTTTTATTTCAAATTAAATAATTAAATAAATTTCCGACTTTACTTTTTCACACGCATTTTTGGACCACTCCAATACAAATACTTGTGTTTTTCATCAGAAAGAATTTTATGTATAACAGGTATATACAGCGCGGGATTTCTGTTATAACTTTAGTACAAAAGGGGATTTAGATTATATTTGGATAGGATTTTATTAACCAGTTACTGGCAACACTGCCTTAGCAATATACAAATATGAGTTGTTCTGGTTCAGTACAGCCGACTGTCGTGTTTCAGATTCAGTACAAATCTATGGAGAAATTTTTGTTAAATAAGACATACATATAAAAAGTTTGAATACTTACGGCCACACTGAGCTGATCTCGAAGTCAATATTCCTGTTTGTTTCTAGGCAAAAATATTTTATTCCACACGCATAATAAGTATTCAATGACAAAGTGCTTTGGAATTTTCATCCTATTTTCATTTTAGCGTGTGTCGTTCAGAAGTGATCTTAAATATTATTTTGTACGAAACAAAGCAATTAACACACATGCATACATGAGACGCGAAGATCAAGCATACATACATACATATGTACAAACGTACATACATATGTCTATACTATGTAAGTATACTCGCAAAACAAAAAAGTCTAAAACGAAAAGAAAATTAAAAATATTTGTTGAACAAGAAGCTCAGCAATTTAGCCTTTTAAAAATAACACCATTCTTTCTTTCCGAAAACATTTTCAGGCAAAGAGTAAGCGTTTAATATTCATAATATATGCAAAAGTTTTCTAAAATCACCAATAAGCATTAGCTTGAATTTCCTCTTAAATCATTTTGTATGAAATTCAAACAATTTAGATACATTTTTATTATAGAAATTTAAATGCTGAAGTAATAAAATTCGCTCCACTTAATGTGATCGTGCTTTTTGGCGAGGCGCGAGAAATTTTTTGATCGGCACGAACGGAAGATTATTGTTACGCTGAAATGGCGACTGAACCCTAGGGGGACGGATTGGTAGACCGAATTCGTCGTACCGACCTTGGCAACCTTGGAATTTATGAATCTCCAATATGATGTGACACACTAAAAGAAAATATTTACAGAGATGTGAACACATGTACATATATTATAAATGTACATACATACTTATGAAAGGTACTCGAAATGCAGAGAGAGAAAATATTATTGTATTATTTATGGTTTAAGGAGGTTGCCTTGGTTTTGCGCGAATATTCAAAGTGGAATGGAATTTTTTGTCAAAATAAGAGACGATGCAATTGCTTTTGTGCCATTTATTCATGTTTTTGAATGCGTGATAGGTTCGCATATTATTTTACTCAACAGTATGCATTTTAATTTTGAACATATACAGCGTATACTTAAAATAACTAAATGCTAACTAAATAATAACTAAATGATATTTTTTTCGTCAATTACTTTTAGTAATATCTCCAATACTTCTATCTACTCATTTACAGCTTCAACTACTCACCGAGAAAAAAGTCAATTATCTACGCCCACACCAATCAATTGACCCGAACTCAAACTTGCGTACTTCTATACGACACAGACGCTATACATCACACTGAGCTGGCTTTGATACCAGCAGGCAACATCATTGCAGCGAAAACTGCCATAGAACAAGTGCTCACCACTTCAGCAGCAACATGTCGCAACAACCACTCATTGTTCAAGCAGAGTATTCGTTCAAGGGCGGCAATAACGATGAACTCTGCTTCAAGAAAGGCGACCTCATCACAGTTACACAGCGGGAAGAGGGTGGTTGGTGGGAGGGCACACTCAACGATAAGACTGGCTGGTTTCCCAGCAACTATGTTAACGAATACAAGGCACCCTTGCCGCTCACAGAAACGATACGACCACCAGAGGAGATACAGGAATATCGTTCGGTTGTGCTGAAAGATCTACTCGACTCGGAGCATGCACATGTTGCCGAGATACAAGGGCTATTGGAGAATTTTCTCGAACCATTGCAACAGACGCAAATGTAAAATGATAACTAAATAGTTCACTTAAAATATATAAGCTAATAATTGTTTTTTTGTTTTTTTCTTTTTTCAGACTCAATGCTGATGAGTACGCCCAGTTGATGTGCAATTTTGTAGAAGTTGTTAGAACACATGAAGAATTGCTCAAACAGATGGAAGAGTGCAATGATCGGGTTGGAAAGTTATTTCTAACAAAAGCACCGCACATGAAACAGGTGCATCAGGCCTACTGTGCTGCCCACCCAAAGGCCATTGTTATACTCGACAAGCACAAGTGAGTTGACTGAACTTTGAATGCGACAAAAACGTTGTTTTGTACAATAGATATATATATAATATACGTATATCTCTCACTTAAAATAATTTAAATTGTTGCTTTTAAATCTTAAAAATTCGTTTCTTGAATTTTCAGAGATGAATTGGAAAAGTATATGGAGCGCCAAGGTGCCGCCTCACCTGGTCTTTTAGTCTTAACGACCGGTCTGTCGAAGCCTTTTCGTCGACTCGATAAATACTCGGCCATGCTGCAGGAACTAGAGCGGCATATGGAGAGCAGTCACCCGGATCGGGGAGACACCCAGCGAAGTGTTGCTGTTTACAAGGACATTGCGGTAATGTTAAAATTAAACAAAAGTACAAACGCCAGTGTAATATTTACTTTTTCTATATAGGCGGCTTGCTCAGCAACGAGGCGACAAAAGGAATTAGAGCTGCAAGTGTTAACAGGGCCAGTGCGAGGCTGGCAGGGCCAGGAGCTCAGTTCATTAGGTACAAAGAGCGCGCTATTTATCTACTAGCGTCTTCATTGCAAAATACCCTAAATTATATCTTTCGCGAAATGGTTTTTTTCCAATATTTCGATGGCTAATTTTCTCATACAATCTGTCACTGGGTTAAAGCCTTATCTCACGAAAAAAGATGTTTCCTCGTTACTGTTAAAAAAGATTTATTTATTTTATGAACAATTTAAATTTGTTTCCTTCTCTTGTGAAATATCCAAAATGTCATTTCAAGCCTTTTGCAATGAAGACTGAGTTATACATCCCAGTATATAGTTTCAGGAGCTAAAAGCCCTTCCAAAAGGTCTTCTTGAGAGTCAAGAGACTTTCCACTCCGTATTTCTTCCTTTTTTGTGTGGAGTGGCACAAATAGAAGTGTTTCTAGAAGGGCTTTTGTAGGACTATTTCTGAAGCCCTTGTGAGTTGGCCTTTTAGAAGGCCTACCGAAATTATCTTCTGGGATGTTCTTAGGATATGTGTATAATTACAATTCTACTTTGCTGTTTTGATATTTGGTTTTCTCATTAAAATTCATTTCAAATACTATCTTAGGTGATATAATACACATGGGAAGTGTTGCTGTTGGACCTGACCACAGAGATCGCTATTTTGTGCTTTTTCCGCAAACTTTGCTGATACTCAGTGTTAGCCAAAGAATGAGTGCCTTTATATATGAGGTAAGTATTTACTCTCTCTAAAGTATATTTTAAATATACATATAACAGTAATTATTCTATTCAAAGGGAAAACTGCCACTAACTGGCATTATTGTGAATCGCCTCGAGGATAGCGATACAGTGAAAAATGCCTTTGAAATAAGTGGCCCTTTAATCGAGCGTATAATTGCAGTGTGTCAAGGCCCCAACGAGGCGAATAGATGGGTTGAGCTGTTAACATCTGCGAATCCCACAATGCCTATTGGCATCAAACGTCAATTGAGTAATCTAAGCAATGCATCAATGAGCTGTGGAAATACCGGGCATGCGCCCCAGCCACCACCACATGTAAGTTACTTGAAAACTTCATAAAATATTCTTTATTTCAAGCTCAAACTGGTCATCAACATTCCATCAAATATTGAATTCTTATTGAATTGCTTAAAACGAGTTTGAGCTTATCTTTTTCTATATTGCTATCTTAGAGAATTTTTATTAATTTTTTACTTATATTTTTACATTGACAAATTTATTCAACGTTCTCACAAAAATCTTAAACATAAACCTATAAAATAAATAACAACAATTTAAATGCAAATTTAAAATTAACAAAATGTTGAAAACCAATAAAAACGCACGAAATCAACTGTAAAACCACGTCGCAGAACCCTCATATTTTAGATTCGCGCGGTTATAGTACACGTTTTTCGCTCTGTGCGTACTACGCTGCTCCACCATGCAAACCATATCGCATAACATTGCCTCCGAGTAACTACCCGCCCACCGCACCCTATGCTAACCTAAGTGCGCATTTTGCCAAACTAGTAAAGGCGGGCCGTCTAAAAGGTAATTTAGTGAAAATGTTGCTCTATCCGCAAGCGCGACACAGTATTGACATTAAGAGTATTCCTATGCGTAAGAAACGTGCGCACAAGTCTTCGGCAAAAGTGCAGAAATCTAAACATCATGAAATCGACTACTCCAACTCATCAGAGCGTTCAGAACTGGAGCGTCAGGACGCCTTTGAATTGCCTACCGACTCTGAAAGTGACGAAGACGATGACTATGAGAAATTTTCCGACTGTGATTCAAATCCTTTCGAATATGTTAATTTTCATGCAAATCGACGTGATTCCATTGACGAGCCTTCACGGCGCAGGGAGCGTCATTGTTCATCTATAAATCTAATCAAATTGGATACAGATAGCACTGATGATTGCGTACAGCCGTCTGCTGGGCCTGTTGCTTTGCAGAAGGAATCGCTGGTCATCGGTTCGAAAGCAATGCAAGCGCTGGTGCGCAAATCCACGGATAGTGTTGTCATTCATACCACGACCGCACACCTGGATCTGAGTTGTGGTGGCGGTATGACGAGTTGTGTGGAGGAGTTAACTGAAGATTCAGCAAGTATTCAACAAAATTTGCACCACCTTGCGTCGCAGGCTTCCCATGCCTCCTCTGTGTTTTGTGAAAGACTTGGGGGCACGTTTGTGGCATGCGAGAATCTAGCCAATATGTCGGATGAAACGAAGATAAAACTAATTCCGCAAGATTCCGAATCACACGCAGAGCGACATAGTATGCCGAATTTATTTGTTGGTAATCGCTTCAATCGTAACTCTAAGACGGCAGTCTACGTTCCAACATGGCAAGAGCGTAAGGAAGCTTACAATTTGAGTGTGGATGCACTGAAACATGAGAGTTTCGGCAGTGGAAACGCAAGTGGCGAGTTTAATTATAGTGATAATGATGATGATAACAACGATGATGATAATGATGATGACGAGGATGATGTTACGCATTCCAGTACTTTAGACTTGCCGGCTGAGTGTTTAACGGCGCCGGATAAACTGCAAGCGGAGTTGCTATATAATTTCGATGAAAGCTGCTTGGATACACAAACGTTCGTAAATCCAAGGCAAAGTGCAGTAATCTTATGGAGATTTTCATAATTGTGAAGCTTAAGTATTCCACAATCTAGTCATTAGCATATTTTTTTTTTTTAATTATGCGAAAAAATTATATGCGAAATATCTGTCGGAAGCGAAAATATGTGTTTTCGCCGCTGTACATTTGTATTTATGATATTTATATCGATACCGATAACCATACCGAAAACCATATATGTACATATGAGTAGTCCACTTGCAAACAGCGTTATGTGATTTTATAATAGTAAGCCATAAATTTAAAAAAAAAAAACGTCTACAACAACAAATAAAATCCAAATTGTATCTTTTTTTATAATCTGAAAATTTGGATAAATAAGAGCCTAATAACATTAAAAAACAAAATCGCGGTATGGTAGTTTTTGCAAATTTTATGTATACAAAATTAATATAGCGAGTTTTGAAACAGTAACTTTTACATAGCTAGCTTGTTTTTGCTCTTCGCGTTCTCTCTTCCATGAAGATTGGTCTAATTCTTTTTTACGACGTCTTCCACTAGGCACCGAAACTACTACATTTTCTTGCAGTTTTCTAAGTTCATCAGAAGATGGAGACTTTTGAACTTGTATAAATACGTACAATAAATATTATAGCGACTTTTGAAAGTGTACAGTAAGTATTATAGCGACTTTTGCCAGAGTAGATAACATTTGATGCTATTTGTCTCAGGATAAGGATTTTGCACTGTATTATTAGTGGACATGAAACTACTTTAAATACTGGTACGTTAACCACCAAAAACTAAATATCGAAAAAATTGTACAAAGAACACTTTGCAAGGAGACTACTCATATGTAGTTAGATTTATAGATAAGTACTATGGCAATGAATGCATATTTTAAGCTATTAATAAATTTTAAAGAATCGATGAGCTGGGAATGGTATCGATGATATCTGTTAACATTTCGATAAATGCATACAAATTCATATAAAAAGATTCTAGATAGCAGTATCGAAATCATAGTGATAATAAGATCGATAACGCTACCGGAAGCAGCGTTAATAGAAATGAAATAGTCAGAATCAGTCAGATTTTACTGGTAATCGATCCCGTACTCGGTTCTCTCACTATTGAGAGAACAAAAAAGAGAGTAAATACAGTTCTCTCTCTGTCAGAAGTTACCAGTTTTAGTCCGAGAATTTTTTGCTGGTAAATTCTGGTAAATGTGTCAAACGATCAGCTGAAGTGTGTTTGGCAACCAAATTGTAAACAAAAGAAAAGTCCACTGCTAATTCATGTTGAAAAGTATTTAATTATCTGTTTAAGTGGATTCTAATGAATTTGAAAAAATACAAACAAAATAAGCAAAAACTTACAACCAAAATTTGGAGGTTATGTTGAAGTTGGCAGAAGTTACCATTTTTACCTGGGCACAATAGATCTCCTGTTCGCAGTGCATACCGCAACTCAACTATCTATCTACCATTTTTTACTAGAAAGCGATCCCGTACTTTTCAATGTTACTCTCTCGTTCTGAGCGAATTTTTATTTTTTGACAGTTTCACTAGTTTTAGTCCGAGGAATACGGGATTGCACCTATAATTTTAAATGCCAGAAAGCATCGAGAGTGCCAAGACAAGCTCATTTACATTATACGGCTACCGAGTATTGAATTTGGCTTAAAACAATTTAGACAATCTCCATAAATAGGAAAGGGCATTACTTTATTCGCCAATAAGTTTAAATCAGTATAAAATAGTGTTAAGTAATTTACAGCTTCATTAGCAGTTGGTATATTTTTTTCAATTTGAAATATTGGAAGATTTAAAATTGGCGACTAAGGTACACCGCCTCCTCTCCCGTATGTTTAGCAACAAATATGCTGACACTTCCATTTTATTCGTGTATAGCATCGCGGTGGGCTACGACGATATTATATCCCCACCTACAATGTTCAAGCCACAATTTCTTTTCAACCAAACTGCTGAGAGCAACGAGCCACAACAAGAGCGAAAAAAAACTTCAACAAAAGAATCGCATCCTCAAGACGACGACAACGTTGTTGCCTTACACAATAGTCAATCTACGACCGAACTCTATATTGAGCCGCAGCGCTCTAGTGGCTGTTCGGACAACAGCAAACCGCAACGCACTAATTCAATGAGACGTTGCATCAGTTACCAGTTTGTGCAAATGTCCAATCAACATGTCGATGATGGCGCTGCGGCAATGGATACGGGACCTTCGACCAGTGGACGCAGTGCCGGCAACCAAAGTAATGAAAATTCTTGCGGCAATCATGATCGCATAGATCGCAACATTCCAGTGGATCGCATACGCCGTCAGCAGCAGCAGCATCAATTACGCAAGGAAAATAACGGTGTGCCCTGCACAAAGTGTAAATGCTGTGAGAGTTCGCAATGCCCCAGTCCAAGATCTAGCGACTCTGGCATGGCTGGCAGTTGTACGATTGCCTCACCAGATCCACCACTTGTCGACAACGTCCTACAATTCGGACACTACTACGCTGGGGAGCACTTTCCTATGTCACCACCAGAACCATCAAATTCAGATTCCAATGCAATTACTGATCTCACGCGATTCGATGTTTGCGGCATGTTTCGCGCAAAATTCCTCACTCCCGAAGCAACACAGGATCTGGCCGATAATGCTGAATGTGATACGCAGCCTCAACAACTGCATCATCAATACTCGCTTCCTTTGCGAGCAACGGCGTCCGAGGGCGCGCCGATCTCAACAATAACTACAGCTGAGCTTCAAATATCAGCAAGTAATGCAACTATCGACACTGTGGCAACGAACTCCACTCATCAGTTGATGACTGGTAGCCAACCAAATATGCAATTCTCTTCAAGTCTCGATGACATCGACGGCGTTTCCGCGGCGGCAAGTACGGCAGATGGACAGCTGTTTCGTTCTGGCATGTACGCACATTGGTGGAAGAAGGAAAAACTACCACCGGCCGTGGTGCGCGGTATCGCTAAAGCCTTACAAACCCCGCAACCCAGCAAGGATTCTCGTTGCTCGATGTGCTCCAGCTGTGCTAGCTATGTGTCTGGAGGTGGGAGTGGGTTTAGTGAAGGCACTGCGTACTCATCAATTTGTCGGGAATGTGTGTGCTTTTGTAGATCCAATTCAGGCGTACAATGCGACACAAATACTACAATGACCACCTCCATGGTGCAGTGCCCATTGTGCTCCTCAGGCGACGGCAGTGGCAGTGGAACTTCAGCAGATATGCCAGACACTCCGGCAGCGGGTAGCGAGCGCCTAAGTCGCATCTCTTTTAGCAACGGGGGTGCAGTTACGGCCACCACTACCAGCACTTCAACTGTTTCAAGTCCCACCAGCTCATTGGATTGTCCCATTTGCAAAGGACTTATTGCGAGAGGCGAATCGATGAGTTCTCTGGCGATGGCCGACGATGATGCGGCTGGATTAGCGTGTGACTCTAGTGAAAATGCTGTACAGCGACACTCTTCGCATTCGACTGCAAAAACTTCCACCCCTGCGGCAATCGTTGAAGGCAAGCAATTTGTTTTAACACACTCGTGCGTACCCCACCCGTCGCTTACTACTTGCCGGCTGCTTGGCAGGTGTGGAGATGGCGGCGTTAGGGGGCGCTTGTGCAAGTTCAATTGTGTGCAAGTTACTTAACAAGAGATTTGTAAATTCTTACCGTTTGGCACTTGAGTTGCGCGCAAGTTGAGCGCTTTATAATAATGCCTAATCCCAAATTCATTGAGTAATGGACATACGTCGCTAGCGTTAACAGGATTCAGAAAAATATTCTGAAAGAATATATAAAATTCGAGTCCGAGTTATCGATCTATAAATACATACTCTCATTCTAAAATTGATTACAAACCGATAAAAAGAATCCGCGACGATATTGGTACCTACGTCTGTAAAAAACAGTGGATTTTTATACAAATTCATTAATAGGCATTGGCCTCGCGAAACTTTTTAAAATCAGTCAAAAACTATTACTTAAATTTTTACATAATTTAGATGGGTTAATTCACATCTTATTAATACCGAATTTTACTAAAGCTATAATTAGTTAATAATTACCATGTAGGAAAGGAAAGAAAGAGCAAAGGGTTTACTGAAAACTCAAAGCTCACTTTATTTAAGCGCCTCTGTCAAAAGTCATATGTATGTATATACATATTTATGTATACGCAGTAACGCTAGCGATGTCTTATATCAACGGTGATCCCTTGAGTAACATCCTAACTGTTCTTGAAAATGGTACTGCTTTTTGTCCAATATCACCCATCATCTGCTTGCAAATTCATCATTCATCAAAAAAAAAAAAAAAAAAAAACAAAAACACAATCTTTTAATCATTGAACAGCTCACAGAACTGAGACTTTTGGATCTATAGGAAATTGGAAAAAACATCACAATCATCACAGCACACCACTTGGCCCCGCATATGCTCGTTTCTGCTTGCTTGAGCTTTTCCTTCAGCTGTGACAGTGGTTGCATCCGTGCGAAAACTAAACAAAAATCAAAAATTCTATAACAAACAAAACAATCATAAATTTCAAAATACAAAAAAAAAAAACTTACGAAATTTCCTTCTTTGCAAATCGTTTCTAATTGTTTTATGCTATCGATTGCTATGAACCGTTCTGAAGACTAACTAATCTAGTTTCTTAGAGCAAGCAGATGGATGTGATTAATGGAAAAAATCGTCATTCCCTTTTTTTTAGATGTCTCCACCCGCGAACCTCGGCATGCTGGCGGCGCAACGCACAAACTCCCAACAAACCACAGCAGCAGCGGCGTCAATGGCAACATCTCTGTCGCATCAGTCACAACACAAACGGAGCCTGTCGTTCAATCATCATCTCAGCTACAATCAATACACGCACAATCAGCCTCCACCACCTCATCATCATCTTCCACCACCGCCACAAAGTCTACCAAATCATCCGGTGGCGCCAAGCCACAAATCAAATTTAGTCCCGACATCGAGCAGTATTTCAAAGAGCCAACACCAAGCGGCAGCGGCGGCAAGCATGGCGGCACCCACAAGCGCAAGGATAGGAAACACAAAAGGTATGTATAATTACCAAATATCTAATTAGAAATTGGCACTCACTTACTGATTTCTTAACCGCAGCTAATTGGAGCATAAGAAATCTGCGACCAGCACCACCGTTGCGTCCCAATCTGCTCAATGCGACGACGCATAGTGGCGGCAGCGGCGGTACTAGTGGCAGTGGCAGCGCTAATGCGCTCGCCAGTTACTGCTGCGGTCGGCGGTTGCAGCCAACTTTTGAGGAAGATGTACTGGTTTTGAGAGTTTTTGAGGGCTACTGTGCTGCCTTTCAGAATACTGCGCGCAACACCATACATTCGGGTAAGTGGCACCACTTAAACTAACTACTACTACTACTGCTACTACTACATACTCATTCGAAGTACTTATTCATATTGCACATTGCTTAACGGTGGGTGCATCTTCTATTACGACTTTCCTCACCTCATTTCACTATTGCTTGTGGTTATGTTGTTTGGAGAAAAATTTTAAAAGTTTTGGTTGCCATTTTGCACAATATGCGTTTTGCAAGAATTTTGAGCAAAAATTATGGAGCGCTTGCACAGCGTTCAATATTGTGTGCTCAGAGTGCTTGCCGCTGCATTCAAATATTCTGCTTTTTGTGGGTTTTGCTGTTCGTTATTTCGTTTGCAAATTTTTTTGGTTCTAAAACTAAGTACACGTCTTTTTTGCGAATCATAAGCTACTGAAATATATAAAAAAAAAGAAAAGCAAAAGAAAAGAAAAACATAATGATAATTACGTTTTAATATCAAAGCAAATATTAAGTGTCGCGCTTTTTCACAAATAATTCTTAAACTGCTGTCAAATAATAATTTGAAAATAAGAAACGCTTCATTGTATGAGTTAAAAAGCTGGAATTCTTATTGTTAGCGCTAAACAGTTTTACAAATATTCCATAATTTACATATTGGTTTAGAATAAGCAGTACTGTTGTTTTATTTTTATTAGAAATATGTTATTAACTACTATTAAATCGTTATTTAATAAAACAAAGCAGTAAATTAAAGTTAATTTGTTCACACTGATTCACAAATATACGCAAACACAACAGAAATGAATCATTTCATTAAATATTATAAAGGAAAGTGGTATAGACAAGAGAAAATTGTAAAAACGATTATTTAATTTTAGTTTCTTAGTTTAAATTAAAACTAATTGGAGTATAATAAAATGTTAACTGTGTAACGAGTATTTTATAATTGTAATTATTTATTTGTAATTACTTATCATTTTTAATGTCTTTTACATCGAATTTTTACTTACTCACCATTGGGTTAGTCATTCGGGGTTATTAATATGTTCCAATTTGTTCACACATCGTCTCTCTGTATTTATCTAATTTGTGCTGTTTCAAGTAATGTTCTGTATTAATCTGCTCATTTATTTTTGTTATTACCGTGCTTGATTAAAACCATCTGGTGTATTCTCTTAGTGAACTAGTTGGTTGTTCATATCCAAAAATGAATGCCATTCTACTTATTGTGTATGCATATAGCATATTTTACTGAAAAGTGTTAAATTTTACAAATAGTTAAAAGCCCCATAGGCAATGCATATCTCCGATGCCAATTCATAAATGTATTTAATTAATGAAATTCCCTAGCATAATTTGCTGGCGCTATGATCGTTTTGCCGCCGGGTTAAAAAACTCGGTGTTTTTTAAATCCCCATAATAAAATTTCTAATTGACTAACACTTCAAGAAAGCGCGCCACTACTTTCCTATGATTATAACATACAATTTATTTGAAAATGCTTTATTTTTTTTTGTCTATCATCAATTAGACAAGTCAATCTCAAATCTGTGCTACTAAATTAAAGCACTTCTTAGAATGAAAGCAACATCAGTTTTTCGTTTTGTAAAATATGTTTTATTTAATATATATTCAACGATTTGCACTTTGGGATATAATAGGGGTATTCTCTGAGTCTTGCAAAGCCCTTGCACGGTGCACGGATTGCACGGTTTGCAAAGCTGTCCCATACGAAAACCGGTTTTTACCGTGCAATCCGTGCAATCTGTGCACCATGCAAGGGCTTTGCAAGACTCAGAGAATACCCCTAATATTTTGATTTGAATCTTTTCCCTGAAATTAGCAAAAATTAGCACAAGCTATATTTATTGTTTGAAAATTTCGATTTAACATAGACTCGTTAGCTGTACGAAAATAGTATTATTGTAGTCGGAGAAATACCAATGTTTTTAAATCTGATGCTCATAGAGTAGCAGGATTCAATCCATTCGTGATGAGAAGTTGTAGAATTTCTTTGCGAATTTCTGCGACAGGTTTATATCATTAAATAAAGCAAAGTTCTTACTTCAAGGATCTACTTTAAATTAGTTGTGTAGTTTAGTATATTAGCCTTTTCGACAAAGTTATTCTCCAACCAGAGTTTGCAAAGTGATAGCGGGATACTGAAAAGGTTCCCTTTTTCGCCAGTTTATCTGCCATACAATTGTGGATTTGCACCTATACAAACTCTATGACTATCCTTGATGGGAACTTTCAAAAATGGCTACTTCACTCTTTTTCTTCTTCACCCTGATTAAGAACAAAATCAATCGGCGCGCCAGCTTGCAGCTTCTTTGATTGCTGTTAGTTCAGGCCGGAAAATCAAGGACTGAAAACTAAGGTTGTTGAGGAGTGAGAACTCTCGAGTGTATATCAGGCTACCGACCTTGAGGTCTAAGGGTTCTTGTCGACATAGTTAATTGTTAATATTTTACCTATCGCCGAAGTTCGGCCGGCCATCGTAAGGGCCAACACCTGCAAAGCTATTGTGCTTGAACGTCTGGAAAAATTTGTAGAAAACTACCCTACCGACGTCATCGGCTTCTCGCTCACAACCCTGGTAAGAGCAATCTGATCCCAACATGGTATTCACAAAGTGCAGATCACCACCATGGCACTTAAACACCTAAACACGCTGATAAGCTGCATATGGGAGATTACGGTCCTAAGTCGCTGGTCCTAAGCGCTGATCTGCGAATTATCTCAGTAGCCGCAATACTGCGGTGTCACTACGCGATCAAATCTCAAATCAAAGCAGAATTAAAGAGAGGGTCTTGCAGTGCAGTGCCATGTCCTCAGGGTTTGAAAATGCTGTAATTTTTTTATTTAATTTGCTTTTGCTGTTGGTATCGAAAGCAAAGCAACAGTAATTGAGAAAAAAACAAATGTCTTGGCTCCCGTTTTGCTATGAAATTTCGAAAGCAATTTGTGAAAGCACAAAGACATCACAGTTTGACTATAACTTTGATATGAAGCAGAAATAGAGGATATTATATCTATGTACATATATATGCATGGGCAAATGCCCTAGTCGAATTGGCAGAAATAGAGGCTATTATATGTATGATGATAAGCTTTGCATTGATAGCGTCGTCAATACATGTTCATTATACATATATGTACTTATATTTAGATAATACACCATTATGCAAAGCTCCATGTGCACAACACAGCCAATAAGATCACAGCACAGCAAAAGCACCATCACAGCAAATCGAAAGCAATAAATAATTTTAAATAAACTGCCGATAAAAAATAAAATACAATTTCCAAAGTCACAGCAAAAGCATAAAAGTTCGAATCAAAATCGAAAATTTCAAAGCGAAGCAAAAGCAATAATAGTAGTGCTTTTGCTGCTGTACTGACAGTTTTTCAAACCCCGCTAAAGTCTTACTTTTCTATTTCAAGCGTTTCCTTGATCTCTTGCGCCAAATACTTCTCGATGTTGGCGTTGGCCAATGACATTGATGACTTGTTTTCGAAAGTGAATGAATCTGCATTCTTCTTTGCATAAAACCTTACACTTTCTTCTACGATATCTACTTAACGAAGGAACTCAAGCCAAACTTGATACTACATAGAATACTGATACTATAGTACAGATCGTAAATAACCTAACAATTTTAGGCTTCCTCTACTATCTTGCTATCTTTAATTATCTCCAAACATGCTATGCATATTACCTCTTTAAGTTTCGTAAGTCATAAATATATTACCTACACCGCAATGTTTATTTTACCCCTTAGGATGTTCAGTGTTAATATTGAAGAGCTGGCCGCAAAACCTATCTGCGCTTTTAGTTCGAAACACATAAATTTTATATTAGGTATAGGTTAGGCTTTCTTAATCATTAAAACAAATTAAGATTTTTTCATTTCTATGTATATACTTAGTAAAAAATAAATAGCGGGTTTCTTTTATCTAACCCTGCACTTCAACTTATTTAGCAAATCGAAATCATTCTACTTCTAATTCCATATACTCGTATACATAAACTAGTGAAACCTGTATCTAAATGTTCTTTAAAATTATAAAACTCAAAATGTTTGCTGGTATTTTATTTTTAATAATTTCCTTTCTCTCTAATCGTCCTGCTTACAAAAACCTTTCTTAAATCACTTAAATAATCATATTAATACCCTCGCAGCTTTTCGTCAAATACGTTCACTAGTTTTATGTTAACTCCTCTAAGTAACATTATACAAGTATACCCGTTGTTTTTGGATTTTTGTGGTGTTTTGGTCCATTGTGTTTTTTGTTCCATATTGTTTTTGTCATTGCGCTTTGTTGCCCCCCAATTTTTATTGTCTGCTTACATTGCGGTCTCACACCATTTTGACTTCCGTTTTTTTCCAATAATTGTGTTTGGTTATCGTCTTTTTTCGTTCTTCGATTTCATTTCTATCTTTGTCTTTCTCTCTTTTCCCCGCATTCTCTTACACTTTTGTTCCGACCCATTTAGCCCTGCAACCATGGACACCTTGCTTGCCGATACGCGGCGGAAAGCTACAGACTAGCAAAACGTTTTCATCTTCAAATCCACAGCTGCCACATCTGTGCAATACAGGCGTCCCATTTCCGGGCAGCAGCGGCGCGACTAACCAACAAAACTCCACCAACAGCCTAAACTCTTCGTACATTTGGCGCGAGGCTAGTCCAAACAATTTTAATCTATATTCCAGCTCGGTTTCATCATTAAATGCTGCAACAACAGGAATAGCTGGGAGCGTGAATGCCGGCGGTTATCGCTATTCACTTTCCGGTTCCTCCACCGCTGGGGCGGGTCCTTCTAGTCTGCCCATCTATGAACGCGCACTGTCAGAGGAACGCGCAACGCGCAAGTCGCTCAATCGTTTGAAGAGCGGCTTCGGTTCGGGATATGACAATATTTTCATGACACCACTCTTGCCACGTAAAAATAAACCAACACCAAAGCTGGTGAAAAATAGCTACCAGACACACCAGCGTTCACCACCACCAGCGCCAGCGTCCG